TCTGTTGAAACACTTTATGATTTTTTACCTGTCATTATTAATAGTTTGGAAAAAATTATCACATGGCCTGATAATGATACAGCAACAAAAGCTAATCAAATACTTCTAACAGTGCGAACTACAGAATTTAATGTTAGTCTATCTGTAATTGTTAAATTATTTCAGTATACTAAACCTCTTAGCACTTACCTACAAAAGCAAAACATTGACTTGGTTGAAGCAATTAATCACATCAACACCATTTTAAATGAACTAATAAATATTCGTGAAAATGTTAAAACTGTCTTTAATGAATTGTTTAAAAATGCCACGAAAAGATCAAATGAAATGGATATTGAAATTAAAATGCCAAGACTTGCTAAAAGACAAAAACATCGGAATAATTTTTCAACAGGAAATCCAGAAGACTATTTTAGAGTAACTCTTTTTATTACATTCATTGATTCTAAATACAACAATTGAATGACCGTTTCAATAATCACAAAGAAATAATTTCTGGTTTTGAAGTATTGATAAATCCATGTGCTAAAAGTAATCTACGCCATCTTGTAAAATTTTATCAAGAAGATGTTGAAAGTTATGAAAAAGTTGTATCAGAAGTTGAATTATGGCACAGATATTTAAATATAAATAATATGAAACCTCAGAATGCAATGGACGCTTTACTAAAATGTAATCAGGACTTCTATCCAAATATTTATAACTTATTGCACATCCTAGTTGTACTCCCTGTTACATCACGTGAGTCAGAGAGATAATTTTCTTCATTGAAGAGAATTAAAACATATTTGAGGAACACAACTTCTGCAACCAGATTAAATGGTTTAGCGGTTCTCAACATATATAGACATGTTTCTGTTACAGAAGATGAAGTCATTGACATATTATCGTCTACAAAACGCCGTTTAAATTATTCTTTGTAAATCATCTTACACTTTGTACTTACTTTGAATATAATATAAAGCTCTTTGATTTAATTTAATTATTTGGGTATCAAAAATAAAGTACTAGTCTTTGGTGAGCAAAAAAAAAAAGGTCATCACCAAAAAAAAATTAGACCCCACCATGGAAAATTCCTGGCTACACCACTGGTTTAGCTACAAGGTAAAAATAAAGCATACGGTATATAATCATGAATTCTTTGTTAAGATACTACTACCACACATGGTTTGTCGTAAAATGTAAATTGAAGGAAAATTACATTCGGATGGCACACACCTGAGTAATATTAATTCTACAATGAAATGTGCTATGATTATGGAGGAGGATTTTACGACTCTTAATATTTATTGCTCATGCTATATGAATGGGAAACAGTGTGTGTTCACGTAAAATTCTACTGTCCAATTGTTGGGCGCCAAGCCTTAATGGCTGAATTATTTTCTTTATATAGATGTATAATACAAATTAAAATATTTACGTTGAACACGTACTATTACGATCAGAATGGTGAGAAAGTAGTTATTAATAATATCCCTCTTTAAGTTTTTAACTATTATTCCCTCGGTAAAAGTTATTCTTGATTTATCTTAAGTCTATCCTTAATTTTTATGACATGCTAAGAAATATAATCTCTTACCTTGTGTCCAGCTAGCTTGGTCATTTGTTGTAAAAAGAATATGATAAGAACACTGATTTTAATTTACTTATTTATTTTATAATCTTATAAAAATTGTTAAACTCGAAATATTACTTCACTTAAATTTTTTTCTATACCTGGTGTCTGAATATATGTGTTACTTTATATTTTAAAATTAAAATTTATATAACCAGATAGATTATGAGAACCAATCCCTAGTGACATGTCATAAACTATTGTTTTACGAATAGTTTTAACCACTTGATGTGCTAGATTAATGACTTCAATAAACTATCAGTATTTTATAGAATTGTGTATTTGATATGAGAGTCGACAGAGTTAGAGACAGGCTGGATATATACTCGTCGATGCACGGACCTTACAGAGTATAGAACTACTTGCCGAAAAGAGCGTGACAGAATATGAGAATCAATCCCTAGTGACACGTCACAAATTATTGTTTTACCAATAATTTTCAACCGCTAGATGTGCTAAGGTAGATTTTCGAAATGCACTTATTAAATAGACACTCCAATTGAAGAATTAAAAAAATTCTTAATTGGAACAACTCACAAAACACAAAATAAAAAAATGAATTCATAATAATTTAAAATAAAAAAAAATAAATAAAATAAAAAGTTTAAGTTATTATTGCTTTTATTGCATTACTTATAAGAGAGTTAGATAAAAAACACCAAGTGTGAAAAGGTTTTTAAGTCCGAAAGAGCACAATCGCGAAACAATCTGGTGCAGAGACGCTTCATGACCAGATTTTTAGAAAAAAATAAGGCGCGGAATGAGCTAGAAATTGCTCTTTTATAGGCCTGTTTTATGAGGTGGAGAATTAATGTTTTATATTTTAATTGCACAATGCTTCTTATTGGCTAGTTAATTAATTTATAGAAACCTATGCGCAATCTATTGTTCTACTAATTTGCGTTAATATTTCATACATATATTGGTGTTTTATATCTATCATCTCCCATTAAAATGTGATTTATTAAAAAAAATCATCATTATAAAATTATAAATAAAATAAAATTATAAGTACTAATTATCTATTACATAATTATTTGATGATAAAAATTTTATCTCTACTACCACGTTATAAAATAAAAACTTGTTCATATTTGTTGTATTAATTTTTGTCTATCTTTTCTTATTTTCTCCTCTAAACGTTTGAGATTAATATTCTAACCATTTTTAAGGATATTCGAGATATATTTGTTGATATTTGCTTATTATTATAGAATAAATTTTAAACTAAAATATTATTTTGTGTATATTTTTACAAAATTCTTAGTCAAGTCATAGAATTTTTTCAATCCTGGTTGATGAATTTATAATGTTATTTCCAGAGATATATATGATATCAAAAAAAAAAAATAATAATAATAATAATAATATTGTACCGTTACACTGACCAATTTATGATGCCAAGTATCATGTAGTAGTAGTATTTACCGCTATTGAAACAGTGTGGTTTTTTTTTGATAATCAAAGATGTGTATTAATTAGTAATTTTTTTTGTTTTATTCTTATGTTATTCAAAATGAATTATTTTTTAAGACTGAAAACTTTTAAACATTGTTTAAAAAAAGTGAATATGAGTTTAATAAAAAATGATAAAATCATTGTCATTTTTATTCTATATAAAATTAAGTGCTTTTTAACACTTACTTGAATAAAAATTACTATTCATTAACATTTATAAAAATTAATTTGATAAATCTTTAAAATTATTCATTAACAGTTAAATTAAATAAAAACTTCACGTAAAAATTACTTTTAATAAAACTATTGAAATTACCATTTGATGTACTACTGTACATAATATCAATGGTATATATTATATTTTGACTATTAAATAGCTATTAGCAAAAATTATATTGGCCAATAGGCGCCAAACTCTTAAATTTGATTGTAAATACTAAATTTTGAATGATAAAATACTCAAAATTGATACTTTATTAAAAATAATAATCATTATACAATATTAAAAGCAATTCCACCAAATTTTCAAATAAAAAACAGTCAAAATTACAGCATTAAAATAATTAGTTATCATGATTCCAAGATAAATAAAAAAAATTATTTCTAAGTTTGTTTTTGGGGTGACTTTTGACAGTTAAATGTAAACCTATAACTCTTTTAATAAAATTATATGGAAATTATTTAAATAAATTTTGATTGTTTGTTAACTAGTTTTGTAATATTGTTCTCTGAGTTACAATTATTTTTAGGTATAGCCGAGAGAAAAGCATATAATTATAGCGTTTTACTTGTGACTAATGGTAAAAATTATATGTTGCTAAACACAGCCTAAACTTAACTTAATGTATAAAAGTAAATATAAATATAATAATGGATGTTTCTGGTCAAGATATAAAAATATTTATAAATTAGCAAATTTTAGTAATTTTAATTTAAAATAAATAAATAATTTATTAGACTCGATTAACCATAAAAACATTGATATAAATTAGCTATAAACCACATGAATGACATTTTTATCAATCTTGTAATGACATCAAGGATAAAATTAGATTATAATCACTTTAAAACAGTTTTTTAAATAATTTTTTTTGCTATTTTCAATCTAAAACCAAGTATGTACGTGAAATAGTTTTATAATCTAAAGTTAATTAATTATATCTTATTGTTAAAGTAATATTGTTATATTACTACAAAAGAATATTTTTTTTGTACAACACAAATAGGTTCAAATTTATTACATCAGTGTACTAAAAAGAGTTAACCTGTACAGAAAAATAAGACGTTTAGACACGAGTTTAGTTAGTAAAACGAACGTTTAATTATATTCATTTTTAGTATATCACAGTTATGATACTAAAATTTGTATTTTGTAAAAACATTTTTTAAATATTTTATTAATCATCCAATACTTTACGAACAACGCTATACACTGGATTTTTATATACTCCATAAGCCAAATATATACATGGTTCAATCTCTTCCACTCCTTCAGGTCCATTTTTGCTTACAAAATCCCAATCTCCATCATCCCAGTTGTATATATAAATTGATGTTTTTAAAAGTTCAGCGGCAGCAAATATTTCAGGCGTTTCAGCGTCTTTTTCTTAAATATTATAAATTATGTTTATGAATATTATTTTCGTTTATTGATGTTTCTAAGTATAGGTAATACATATTTAAATAATATATTGTTATTACATAATAATGTTAAAAGTGGAGAGAAGCATCTGGTGTCTTATGCGATAAAAGAATTCCAATAAGGCTGAAAATTAAATTCTATAAGACTTTAGTGAGGCCAGATATAATGTATAGTTCAGAGTGTTGGTCGGTTGTAAGAAAGTAGAGCAGAGAATGAGTGTAGCAATGATGAGAAAGTTTAAATAGATGAATGGAGTGGCTGATCTTAAGTAGGGGATTAAGGCGAGGAAGAAGAAAAAGATTGAACAGACATATTTAATAATATTGGACAAGAATGTATTTATCCAATTTACCAATACTATTCTCAACTTAATAATTTATTTTATTAATTCTTGAATTTGGTAGCCCACTCAATGGGTGATGATTTGATGTGTAGATACCGGAGTTTGATTTCGTTGTAAGTATTGTAAAGTTTTATGTATTTAGGATTAGTCATGCAAAAGAGCGGTGGTATTTATAAGGATATAAGACACAGGATTAAGTGCGGGTGGTGTGAAAGTTCTATAATGCTGTAGAGACCTAATATTATGAATGGTTTAGAGTGTTGTGCGGTTGATAAGAAAGTAGAGCAGAGAATGAGTGTAGCAGAGATGAGAATGCTTAGATGGATGAGTGTAGTGACTAGAGAAAATAGAATAAGGAACGAACATATAAGAGGGAGTATAGGTGTAGCGTCAATCATGGATAAGATGAGAGAAAATAGATTTAGATGGTGTGGTCATGTTATGAGGAGAGAACAATCGGAAACTGTGAGAACACTTATAGAAATGAATGTTGAAGGAAGAAGAAGTAGAGGAAGACCAAAAAATAGATGGAGAGATGTTATAGAATGCGATATGAGGACAGCTGATGTGAGTGTTGAGGATGTGGGAGATCGTGTCAAGTGAAAGTTTAGGATGGTCAAATGGAAGGGTGGCAAACTCCAAGTAATTGGGATTAAGGCGAGGAAAACGAAGACGTAATAATATTAAAATATTCTATTTAAATTGTACAATAAATAAAAGCAGTACTAATTTGAGATTTATATAAAAATAAATAAATAACTTGCATTTTAAAAAAATAAATACAAATTATTGAAAGTTATAAATAATTTAAAATTAAGACAAAAGAAGCAGAATGAATTAGAAAAGCCTAGTGAAATTAATTATCTAAGTTAAATATAATATAAAAAATAAAATCGAGAATTTTCACACGAAAATAGCATTTGGTAGAAATTTTCGCCGTGAAGACAAGTCCAGAGGTCAAATTTTTTTTTTCAAATTAAAGTATATTACATTAGCTTTAATTTAATATATATATAAAAGTGTCAGACCTTCCGGAACATTTTCAAAAGTTAAGTTGAAAAAGTTAATTTTTTGTGAAAAAGTTGTCATTTTAAATCCCCTCCTGTGGGCAAATAAAGGGTCAGATTTACAAAAAAAATATACCAAATGATAAGTAAAGACATCAAACATCTATATAAAAAAAAATTATATTGATATGTTCATTTTTGAAAAAGTTAGAGCATTATTAAGTTAAAAATATAAAAAAAAATTATTTTACAAAAATCGTAATTTTTTATTAACTTTGATGTCAACTTTCACCACGAAGACAAGTCCAGAGGTCAAATTTTTTTTTTTCAAATTAAAGTATATTACATTAGCTTTAATTTAAGATATATATAAAAGTGTCAGACCTTCCGGAACATTTTCAAAAGTTAAGTTGAAAAAGTTAATTTTTTGTGAAAAAGTTGTCATTTTAAATCCCCTCCTTTGGGCAAATAAAGGGTCAGATTTACAAAAAAAATATACCAAATGACAAGTAAAGACATCAAACATCTATATAAAAAAAAATTATATTGATATATTCATTTTTGAAAAAGTTACGGCACATTTTAGTAAAAAAAATTGAAAAAATTTAGAAAATTAGCGGTTTTTAATTTTGTAATTTTTTTGGAGGTTTCCTCCATTTACGGGAAACGGGGGAATTTTTTTCAATTTTTAAGGGTAATGTCTTCGACTAGATACGATTTGTGATCTTTTGACGTATCGTTGAAAGAAATCCGTTCGGTGAGAGCTGAGGAAAAAGGGTAACAGACACAAAAAAAAAAAACACATCATAGTAAAACCAATACGTTCTCAGCTTCACATCGAAGCTAAAATTGAAAAGCAATTGTAGAACTTCTTAAAAATGTTAATGAATATTAACAATATATTATTGAAGTACTATTTAATAACTTACTCAGAAATTTGAAAATTAACTAACCAAATATTTTTAATGATTTGATAAAAGTAAAGCTTATAATTAAATAATTAATTTACTTATAATATATAAATTTGCTATATAATTATGACGAGTCTCACTATTCTTCAAAAGCATTGCAACGGATCTAGATTCATGCATAAACTGTGAAAATGATAAGAAATTTATTTTAAAGTATTAATATATTGTTAAAAATAGTTATAAAATGTATTTGTATGTGAATACAAATACTCAAAAAAATAATAATTTTTAAAGTATTTCAAATATTTTTTTTAATAACTTATTTTTATGTTTTTATCAATGATTACAGAGTATAAAAAAATGACATATATTTATTTTTCCACATACAAATACATTCAAAAAATATTTGGTAAAAAATATTTGAGTATTATTTTTTCGATTCTTAATCGAGATATTAATTTTTTATAATTACTTCGTAAATAAGATGTTGTATGGTCTTATAAAATTGTTTGTCTCCATTTATACAGTAACTCAATGATTTATAAAAACTATTTTTATAATTTTGACTAGGATAATCTATTTTTAATTGGTTTTTGTGCAAAAATGTTACTATATCATTTTTAAATAAATTTTTTTTCACGTATTTACGTGAAGGAAAAAACTCTTTAGTCTTCATATCTTGCCATTCTGGTGACACCGGTATAAAATGTCGTCTAAATACTTCAACGGAATCCTTTAGGAAAAAAAATTAATTTAATTATTTAAGTACTTTTATGTAAATAATTTGTATAAGTATTTATATTTTTTAATTTAAAATCTTGACAAAATGTCAATATCTACTATATTTTTATTGCCATTGTATTTATTTGTATATAATTAAATTAATAAATTTTATAGTTTTCAATATGTTTGTGTACTGGAAATGAAAAGCCTATTGCACATACCCAGTAAAGAACTAAGGAACGTGGATTAAGTTAATAAAAGGTGATTAATAAATTTGAATACTAGATCGTTAGCTCGCAAAAACTTGTATTCGATACACAAAAAAATAATAATAAAATATTAATTACAAAATGACAAAATGATATATAGAAAATTGTTGTGGTACAATTCTATAAAAAATTTCTCGGTGTGATTTTTAACACGCTTATATTAGTTTGACCTGTATGTATGTTAGTAAGTATGTTTGTAACTCTTCACGCGCCACGTGTTATTGTCGCGTATTCCGTCGTTTATGGCCTTGAGACTAGACTGTCGTAACGCATTCACCCACCCAACTCACCCCATTCGTCAACAACATTTTCCTGTATATATTATTTTTGTTTTTCGTACCCATACACGCGTACGTGTTATCAATTATATATATATATATATATATAAACAAATTTTTATTGTTTATTATTAGATATAAATATTTAAATATTCATTTTTTTAAAATTAATATACATATAAAGGATTACAAATACAAGTAGCTAATTGGGTTTTTATGACGATATTCACAGGTATATAGCCTTTTTTTATAAATGGTAATAAGACACATTGTTGTGTGTTTATAAACACACTAACTGGTAATACAGAAATTATATTTATAAATAGTCATAATTGACAATAAACACTCCGTGACTGTGACAGCAATGTCATAAAATAGTAAAAAATAAATATAGTTTAAAATCACAGACTAATCATTATAATCTTTTTAGCCTTATGCACAGTTATTTTTGTTCGCCGCAAAAAAATGTATACTTCTAAAATTTAGAATACTTACTGAACACCCTGTATATGAAATGATAATTGGGTAAAATAGGATAATTTTTAATATTATGCTTTTTATTTACCAAAACGACTCAACAAATTCTCTACATGATTGAAACGATTATTACTAAATCAAACAAATTTATTTTCAAAATATCTTTTATCTTTATTTTTAATAAATTTAAAATCAAAATTTCAAAATAAAATAATTTTAATTTTTTGAAAAAATTAACAGCAAAAGATCTTTTTTAAATTAAAGTACCATAACATAACATAATTATTCTTCATACAGCTACAGTAGCACTGGATTAAAATGTGACATTGAAATTTTATATTTTGCCTAACAACACACTAGAATTGAGTTTTAGCTTCGATGCGAAGCTGAGAACGTATTGGTTTTACTATGATGTGTTTTTTTTTTTTGTGTCTGTTACCCTTTTTCCTCAGCTCTCACCGAACGGATTTCTTTCAACGATACGTCAAAAGATCACAAATCGTATCTAGTCGAAGACATTACCCTTAAAAATTGAAAAAAATTCCCCCGTTTCCCGTAAATGGGGGAAACCTCCAAAAAAAATTACAAAATTAAAAACCGCTAATTTTCTAAATTTTTTCAACTTTTTTTACTTAAAAGTGCCATAACTTTTTCAAAAATCTACAAATCAACATTATTTTTTTTTATATAGATGCATGATATCATTACCTTTAATTTGGTATAATTTTTTCATAAATTTAACCCTTAACCTCCCCACAAGGGGGGATTGAAAATGACAACTTTTTCACAAAAAATTAACTTTTTCAACTTAACTTTTGAAAATGTTCCGGAAGGTCTGACACTTTTAATATATCTTAAATTAAAATTTATGTAATGTAATTTATTATGCAAAAATAAAATTTCGGACTTTATTTTATCTTCATGGTGAAAATGGCTACCAAATGCTAATTTTGTGTGAAAATTTTCGATTTTGTATTTTACATTTTTAACATTATACTTTATTATGCTATAACTTTTTGAAAAATGTATGGATCAGTACAATTTTTTTTTGAAAAGTAGTATTTATATACATCTTTCATTCGACATACTGTTTTTTTAAATCGGACCATTTCCCTATATACGAGGAGGGTTCAAATATAAAAAATGCATGTAGAAAGTAGAACTTTTTCAACTTAAATTTTTAAAGTGTTCCGGAATGTCTGACACTTTTATACATATCTTAAATTAAAGCTAATGTAATTAATTTTATTATGCAAAAAAAAAATTTCGGACTTTATTTTGTCTTCACGGTGAAAATAGCTACCAAATGCTATTATTGTGGGAAAATTCTCGATTTTATTTTTTACATTTTTAACATTATAATGCTATAACTTATTGAAAAGTGTATGGTTCAACATTATTTTTTTATGAGAAATAATATTTTTTAATAATCCCTTTTTCATTCGACATACTTTATCTTAATCAGGATATTAATAATGAACTAGCAGATCATGTAGCTTTTAAAATAATCCACCAATTTTTTAAAATTGAACACTATCTAAAGATTTGCATCAAAGCGTTTTTTTTTTTATAGTAATTTTAATCACTGTCAGATATCATTATATTTGATCCATCTATGCCACGTCACCACTGTGCCGCGACCCCCCTGTACTGGGTTTTTTAAATTATTTTAAATTTTGTGTATATTTTAAAATAGGACTTATGGTTGTCTAAAATTCGCTTTAAGACCACTATGTGGAAGAACTGAATGTGTGCCAAATTTTGAGATTACTAATCTACTTGAAAATTTTATCATGTTTCTTAAAAAATACTTATCTTACTTATACTTACTACATCAGTTGTAATGGTATAATGGCCTGTATTGTCTAAGCCGCTAAGATGCAAATATATGCAAGGTTCTTTTATTCTTTTACCATCTAATCCATTTCTACTAAAAAATACCCATTTATGGGAAATTTTTTCAGAGAAAACATAAATCGATGTTTCTAAAAATGCAGCTGTTGCATGAATTTCATCGGATTCGGCATATTTATCTAAAAAAATATGTAGTGCTTTAACTTTCACTGACAAATTCATGTTACGTATAAACAGGTGTTCTAAAAGGTAGCTATTTGTTGCCTCTGTTATATATTTTATATACTTGTAACATGACAAAAAGGGTACCCCAAATTTGTGTATACATGTTACATATAATTTTATTGTTATTTTATTTTGGATGAGCTGACTGCGTGTTGTGACAGCGTTTACTATTTGTTTAATATTTTTGGTAACCATGATAAAGATTTGTGATGTATTTGTGCGCGTGCGAGATAGTACTGAACTGTGTATTACTTCGAACCGACTCATTAACGGCATTTGTGTCTACACTCATCCCGCTCCTTTCCCCTTTGAATAGTATTTGCGCTGTCAACTACCTACATTGTTACCTTTTGATAAATATAATTTTTTTATTTAATTATGATATATATAGTCTGTACAATAGACGCAATAAGCATATAGGATAAGTATAGAAAAGAAATATATATTATCCATAATTTTATTAATCAGGACATTAAACTAAATATAAAACTTAAAACTACTGAGGATATAGATAAGGCTGCAAATAATCTTACTAATATCATTCAATTAGCTGCCTTGAAAGCTACAGATGTTATAACCTCCTCCGAATATACTACTCACCTGAAACGACTAGTTCTGTAATTATGCACCATTATTACTCTATTTTCTAGTTATATGCTTTACGCCAAATGATATAAAATTTAATATTGCCAGTTATCTATCCAAAAAATCCTCTGTTTTTGACCTTATAACAACTGAGGTTGCAAAATTTCTCCCTGAAAAGGCGCTTATCCATTTAATACATACATTTAATGCAATTATTCGACTTTTCTATATTTCTCTTTTATGGAAATTTCCAATCATTATTTTAATTTCTAAATCCAACAAACCCACTGTCTTTCTGTCTTGAGAAAGAGTTATAACATCTGTAGCCATCCAGGTAGCTAATTGAATAAAATTAGTAAGATTATTTACAGTCTTATCTATGTCCTCAGTATTTTCAAATTTTGTATTTAGATTAATCTTCTGATTGACAAGATCATGAAACATATATAGATCTGTGTTTATTTTAAATAACTTTGGATGCATTGGATGAGTTTGAGGAGTTGAAATAAGCGTAAATAGGACTGATGAGTGATTAAAATTGTGCTCGAGGATGTTTTCTATTGTGCAATTTAAATTTTTTGGTATTTGTTCTACAAAAATGTTGAGTATATCAAGATTTTTGGGCCAATATTTTGGATCAGGAAGAGTAAGAATATTTAATTTTCTTGATGATGAAAAATCATGTAGAACAAAACCACGAGGGTTATATGAGCGACATTGGCTGTTTTTGGTTATTTGGAATTGCAGTCGCCACCGACAATAAATTATCTATGAAAGGGTTAAAATAGTCTTTAAATATCATCAATGTGACTTTATGTTTGGAAGAAGAGTAACAGTGCGGCAATAGTAAATGAAATATTTTTAATTTTTTAGGATATGGAGCAGAGGGGTTCATAAAGGATAAGACACTCATTTTTTTGAAAACAATTGAACATTTAATCGGTTAATCAAAAAAATTTATTAATATAAAGTTCTATTTTTAATTCAAATTTTTAAACAATTTAAAAAAATGAACGGTTAATCGGATAAAAATATGATTAAAACAAAATTGTTTTGTAATTTTTTTTCCATCATATTTTTTTACGTGTTCTATCTACAATGATTTCATGGATTTTTGTATTTTTTCTCTTTAAAAATCATCTTTTTCTAGTTTTTAAGGTACGGCCTTGTATAAGGTCATAAATTAACAAGGCTGCGTACCAACGCGTTAAAAAGTTATAAGTTATATTTTTAATTTATATTTCCTTTCCAAAAAATATTCATGCAATTATGTTTAACATACTATTTAGTATTGTATTGAAATAAAGTAAATTGTTTTCAAGAAATTCAAAATATTGAAAAAATATATGAATTATACCCCGTGCATGTATAAGAATTATGATAGTTGCCTAATGTCTTCAATATAATTTAAGGTATTACAGGAATTAAATTTTTTTTTTAATGCTTTAAAATGTAAGAACAGATTCCCTTGTGGTTTTTATGATAAATAATTCAAATTTATATTTACTTATAGAGAATATTTACAAATATTAAATATTTTTAGTTTTATGATGACATCTCGAATTCGTTGCAGAGTTGATTTCGGACCTGCACCTAATGATCCGGAAATGAACTCTACAACAAGTTTAAAATGTCAGGGTAAAACTGAAGATTTGGAAATATCTGTAAATATTCTATATAACTCAACAGTTAATGAAAGTTTTAACATATTTATATTTTCTTTAAAAAAAAATTTACTTTTTACATATAAAGCAAAAGAAAAATGGCGGAAAAAATTCCCAACCAAGTTTTTTTTTTTTGTTAAGTTGAATTAAGATATGTATAATGACATACTAAAATTCCTTATTGATTGTAATTGAATTTTTTTTTACAACCTTGCAAAAATACAAAAATATGAACAATTTTAATTTTCTCAAAAAAATATTTAACTTACAAAAAGTTTCATACAAAAATTGTTTTTGAAAGACAATTTTTTCATTTAAACAATTATTTTTTGTGTTACATTTTACTTAATACGAGTACTAAAATTTACTTTCCATTTTTTCCATATTACCGTTATTTTTTAATTTAAGCTCTGTTTTTCGGCAGCTACAATTTTTACCAGCTCTAGCACCCGACTAAAGGCCAATACGCTTTCGACAATTAACTTTATCATTGCCAGAAATTTCGTAGGCAATTGACAAAATATAATTTTTGTTTGAAAATGTTCAATTTAGCGTTTGGTTGGGTTTAAATAGTATAGCTTCAAATCAATTACCTACTCTATTGGTTGTATCTTAATAAACACTACACTTTAATGCTACTATAAATAAATAAACTTACACATACACGCATATGCATTTATAACATTGTGTCTAATGTAAGTATAACATAATAAAAAATAACGGTAATATGGAAAAAATGGAAAATAAATTTTAGTACTCGTATTAAATATAATGTAATTCACAAAATAATTGAATCAATGAAAAAATAGAAGATAACTTTTTTGTTTAAAATTGTCTTTTAAACAACTTTTGTATAAAAGTTAAATATTTTTTTGAGAAAATTAAAAAAGTTCATATTTTTGAGTTTCTGTTCTGTTTTTATAAAAAAAAGCTCAATTCCAATCAATGAGAACTTTGTCATTATACATATTTGAATTCAACTTAACAAGAAAAGAAATTTGGTTGGGAATTTTTCCGCCATTCGCCAAAAGTACTCTTTCGTTGACTAGCCTATAAGATAAAAAGTTATTATTATATTTTAAAGTAACTTGTAAAATAAATGAATTTACTTTTAAAACATAGTAACTTATAACTTTCTTGATATTTTTAAAACTAACTTAACTTAACAAATTAGAAAAAATGACAAGCATGCCCACTCTATAAAATAGATTTATTAAAATTTTATATGATATTTTTATCATAATTATTAAATTAAAATTTAACGCTAAATTTATTTTACGATTTCAAATGAAAATAATAATTATAATTACAATTGTTTTTAAGTTTAACTTTGATACTATTTATCTATTGTAATAAATTCAATAATTATTGGATTTACGCAAGCAAGTACCTGGATTACGCATTTTTTTTATACGTCGAAAGTAATCTTCTTTGTTTGTTAAAAAAGTCGTTTGCATTTCCATATACTGAAAAAAAACAAAAAATAGTCTTAGTTCTGTAAAATAATGTAAATATTTACTGAGTAATTACGTCTAAAACTTGGTTTCGTAATCTGACTCCATATATTGTACTACCAGTTATCCAATAAGAAACCGCATTAAAAAAGCAATTTCCATGTCCTGGTATTTTCCTATTTACCATTGGTACATCTAGAGGTATTATTTTATTATTCATTGAACTTTTGTGTTTAAATGAAAATTCAAGTTTTTCACATAGTTTTAATTGCCACGCTGTGTCAACTGGATAAAAAAAATCATTATTCAATTGAGTTGTTTGACTGATATTTTCTGTATGTGAATACTATAACAAAAAATTTGTTTTTAATAGATTTTTAATGATGTGATATATTTAAAATAAAAAAAAAATTATTGGGTGATCGAAATCTGGTAAGACTTGCGGAAAAATGAACAGTTAATATAGTGACATCTCTTATAAAAACAGTTGGAATAACTAAATAAATAATTGGATTATTCGAATATTGAGTTATTAAATTTTTTTAATTGCAGTTGTCACTATATTAACTTTTTATATGGTTAATATAATTTTTTTTTGTTCCATGCACCAATTTTCTAAAAACTAATAAATATTTTAAATTTTTATAAAGAAAAAAATATTATATTTAAAATTCTCAACAATAATATCTACATAAATTAATTTTATTTTTCATTCATTCAGAGTTAAAAATCCTTAAATTTTAGTTTCTTTATTGGAACCCCTATTTTTAACTTGATAATATGATTGAAGAAAAATGTATTTATTTATAAATTACACTACTGCCCATTTTTTTAGGTTAAATAATGATATTATAATAGCAACTTCAAATTTACCTTTCCTCCCTTTCAATACCCTGGTCTTTAATCAGTTTGTCATCCCATGGTACAATATAGTGTTCCCGTGGAATAAAATCTTTCTTTAAAAATTGAGCTATTACTGAATAAATTGTCATATCTGTTAATGTAATCGTTTCTCATTCTCAATTCATTTCTTTATAAAACCTCCTACTAGTACAATTAATAAAACACCTAATCCAGTTCTTTGATTTATTGATATACTAAGTTAATAATAATATAATATTTATTCGGATTTAAAGGAATTTTGGGAAAAGGATATATTACATTTTCTCAGTTTTTTATTGAGATGTAACATATTTTCCATCGTCTTCATAACTTTTTTTGAAACGTTTTTCGTATAATTACCAAATTCAGATTACATAGATTTAAATTTAAGACTATGTAGAGCAATTAAAATGTTTTGGTTCTATCATTTAAAAATGAATGTGGAAAAAAAATCCTTGAAACAAGTCTCTTTCTTTTCAGAATTTAGCTAAATTTAAAATTATACATCTAGATAATTTATTTTGAGTGAAATAGAAATAGAAAAATTATCTGGCGTAAGACTGTTTAAATAAAGTTATTTTTAAGCTACCCTAATATTAAGTTGACAAAATATCATTAACTTAACTGCAAAACTAATAGATTTGTTAAAATAGTACATTCATAAGGGGACCTAATTTTTTTTTTAATAATTCTTTTTTTAATAATAAAACATAATTATTCAAATAAAAAAAGTGTATGACATAATTGTATATTATGCTGTCATCCAAAGATTTATTTATTAATTTTTTATTACACGTTAATGATTTTCCAAAAATATATTGACCTATTTATAAATGTTTAATTATATTATTAAATTTTATTAAAAACATAAGTTTTTAACAAAAAATACATCTTAGTTAAAGTTACGTTAAATAAATAAGAGAATAATTTAACTAGAAGTCTATATAACTCCATTAAGCTAAAAAGTTCAACTTAACTTTGACTTATGTACTCGGTTATGTCTAATGTTAGATTAATGTATAAATGACTTGATTGTTTTCGATAGATAGCATTTTAATAATAATAATGGATGTTTTACCTGTGATAAAGTATCATTGCTACTAGAATGAATAATTGTTGAAAAATTATAAGTAAAAATTATTAAAAGTAAACGTGAAGATAAAAACATTATTTTATTGTTGATGAAATAAGTTTTTGCTACTTAACTAATTAAATTTCTTGTACGAATAAATTTTTATTTGTTAATTCAAATGATCTTTTAAAACTTTTTACTTTTAAAACAACTGTGTAAATGTAATGCATAGAACAAATTTACAAGAAATTGACATTAATATAAATATTTTTTAAATATAAATTTGATAAATTAAATTAAATGACGTCACGCTAGAAATTGTGAACTTATATTTTAGAAACTATGTAGTGTTACATTGTGTGTCATCCTAATATTTTTATAAGCTCAAATTACTACGATGTATATACATTTTAACTGTATATATATATATATATATATATATATACAGTGTGACCAGATCTAACTGAATACTCATATAACTTATGATCTACAAAACATTTTATCCTTTTTTTTTTTTAATGAGTTTTTACAATATAGAAGTATATTTAAAATATGTATTATGCTATTTTTTAATAACAATTACAAAATTACAAAAAACATATTTTAAAAATAATTTTTTTTAAAGATATCCAGTTTATAGATAAGTTTTAAATAAAAACTTTGATACCAAAAAACTCTTATTTTAATTCAATATTTACGTCTATTCAGCATTTTGAAGTTTGATAAATTTTGATTTTTTTTACTTTTAATTTTGAAAGAATTTATATTAAATGAAAGGGAAATACATATCAATATAAAAAAAAATTTGTTTTGATTATTTTTCAAAAAGTAATGACAGGGTTAAGTACAAAAAATGTCAAAATTTATCAGATTTATAAATTATATTTTTTTGGATATTTCCCATATTTACAGACAACGAGGGTGATTTTTTAAGTTTTAAGGGTAATTTCTTCAACTATATACGATTTGTAATCTTTTGACATATCGTTGAAAATAATCGACCCAGTCAGAGCTGAGAAAAAGTGGAAACAGTTACAAAAAAAAAAAAAAGAAACACATTAAAGTAAAATTAATGCCTTCTCAGCTTCTTATCGATTATTAGTTATTTGTAAATTTTTGAAAACCTTTCGTACCATTTGCGCTAGTAAAAGTGCCGTACAGAATTTTGGTGGCATAAAGAAGCTGTTTTTATGATCGCTGCCTTTGACTTTGCACAAATGACATAGACAATATGTTGACTGAGTTTATCAGTGTTGTGTAAATATAGTGCACTTCAGTACGCGCAAATGGAACTGCCCGAAAACCCATAGACTTTATACTGAATTATTTTGTGTTCGTCAATGATTTTACACAAAACAATAATATCTCACAGTGAGAGATTGAAAATAGCAACTTTTTTTACAAAAGTCAATTTTTTCAACTAAACTATGAAGATGTTCCTGAAATATTGCGTCCTTAAAATATATGTTAAATTAAAGGTTATTTTATGTACTATAAATTTAAAAAAGAATTTGTCCCACGACCTATCTTTGTTGTGCAAATGGCCGTCAAAGTTGAACAAATTTATTAAATATCTATTCTTATACTACGTTTATATATTATAAAACTTGTAATCAGGATATAAATAAGAAAATATTAAATCGTTTTTCTAAACAGTCATATTGACTATACAACGTGTAGTGTATAGTGTGTGAAACACAGTGTGAAATTCAGAATCAATGCTGGAGTATCGTTATATTACATAGGATATAAGGTAAGTACATGTTCTATTTAAGACCACAAACAATCTATTGTGCAATAAACCATCAAGATAAATTATAAATTTTTTTAAGGGATGTTTAACATAATTTATTTAATATTATTTAACCCCGATATTTATTTAACCATTACTTTTATGTGTTCAACCACCGTTTGCTCACCTTTTTAAAACAAACCCCTTTTTTAATTTATAACATTTATACCCTTACATATTCTGCCATAGTTAACCACATATTATTCCATCATATTTTATACTATATTATTTTATTATATTTTACATTAAATTTTTTATTTATCATATTCCTATTTAACTTTATTTTCTTTTGTTGTATTATAAACATTTTTTTTTTTATAACTATTTTATTCTCTTTTAACTCTCTTATTTCTTTTCTTTTTTGTGTATTACAGGATTACACTAATAATTTAATTATTTAATTATAATTAATTGAAAATTATTTTTATACACTGATTCTTATATTATCTCGTATTTATCGCCACATCATGTCAAAACTTCAAGATTCGATTACCACCTCGATCTGGACTGAGGAAGTTACAAAAAGACTGCAAGGAATGGTCAACATAATATCCCTAATAGTCATATAATATTAAAATATATCTAGTAGTCTAAGAAGGTAATAATAATTTAAAAAATGATTTCAACAACATGATAATTACAGTCGAACTTGGTTAACTCGAAGTTGAAAGGACCGGAGTAAAAGTTCGAGTTATCCAAAAAAAAATTTTAAAACAGTACTGTATGTCTGTATATTAATTCCTGTGTTTATTATAAATAAAATATGAAATGTGCAATAAAAATTAGTATGTATGTATATGTAATTTTAAAAAGGTAGGTAATGTATGTACATATAAACAAAAATGAGGTTAAAAAATTATTTAAAAAAGGTATTTATTTTTAAAAATGTATATTAAAATTATAAGGGTTGTCAGTTGATCACAATTTATATACAGGACATAATGCCTAAAATTATTCCCCATTGAATCATAATAAATAAATATGTTAATCACAATTATCATTTATTTCATAATCAGGATTTTTTCTAATATATATTTTCACTAAAATGATAAATAAGAGTCTACAGATGTCAGTAACTTTGATGAATTTATTATTTTTTTATTATCAATTTTTTCAAATCAGTTAAATAGTAGTAGTGTATACTAATAAATCAAGTTTATTTTGACTTTGTAGTAACAATATGTGCTTGATTCAAATAAATTTTCACCATAAAACTAAAAACAAACACGTTGGTTTTTAAAAAATGTGTCCGTGTTCTATATTTGTGGATAAAAAAATTAAATGTAATTACAAAAAACCCAGCACAGTGAGGACATGGCAAAGTTGGGTCAATTATAATGATATCTGACAGTGGTTAAAATCACTATCATAAAAGGCACTTCGATACAAATCTGTATATAGTGTTTTATTTTAAAATTGGTTGATTATTCTAAAAGCTACATTATCTCCTATTTCCTTATTTATATCCTGATTACAAGTTTTATGATTTTTTAAGTGTAATATATGAATATATATATTTATAATATATAAATATATAAACGGAATTGGTTTTATTTAAAAAAAAAGTATGTCGAATGTAAGTGGTATATAAATAGTATTTATCATAAAAAAAATTAATTGAACCGTATATTTTTCAAAAAGTTATAGCGTTATAAAGTTAAAAATATAAAACAGAATTTTTTTACAAAAAATGTATTTTTTTTATTAACTTTGATGTCCGCTTTCACCATTAAAATAAAATAAAGCCCGGGATTTTTGTTTCCTAATAATGTTTATTACATAATCTTTAATTTATGTTATATATAAAAGTGTCTGTATTTCTGGAAAACTTTCAAAAGTTGTCCATTTGAATTCCCCCTGTGAGCAGGTAAAGGATTACATTTATAAAAAAAAAAAAAACGGTAGCACGATGTGGACGAGGCATAGATGGGACAAGTATAGATGATATCTGACAGTGATTAAAATCACTATCATAAGAAACGCTTCAATGCAAATCTGATAGTGTTTCATTTAGAGAAATTGGTGGATTATTCCAAAAGCAACATCAATTCTTATTTCTTTAATTATATCCTGATTAGTAGAACTGAATTAATTTTAATGATTTACTTTAACTAAAAAAAAAAAGTTATCATTTTGAATCCCTCTTGTGGGAAGGTAAAGGGTTAGATTTATAAAAAAAAAACCAAATGATAGGTAAAGACATGTATCTAAATAAAAAAAAAATTATACTGATTTAGTCATTATTGATAAAGTTATAACAGTTAACAAAGTTATAAGTTTTATACACTGGATTACAAGGAACTTTCATAAGAAACAATAATGTAATTTTCTAAATCAACTTTTCGCGATATTTTCAAATGTGCAATTAGACTTTTTCTATCACTTCTAAGTTTTAATATATTTATAATAATATTATTTACATATAAAAAAAAATAATTAAGAACAAAAAAAAATTGTTTTAAATTAATACTGATTTTGATTATTAATATTTTCAAAATAAGGAAAATGACATATTTAACTTATTTTTTTAATTGTTTAAAGTTTATTTTTGTAATTGTTTATAATAAAAAAAAAATAATTTATTTTACCATAACTTTTAGCTCAATTGGCAAGTTTGTAATTGACATCATTAAATAGAAAAATTTATGAGAATTAAAAAAATTGTATAGTTAAGATTAATATGCAGTTAGAAAGTTTTATAATTACTATTTACTGTAAATTTATCAGAAAAGCTTAATATTTTTTTGCATTTTTATCGTAATAGATAACTTAAATAGAAGTAATAGTAATAATTTCCTAGCAACTTTTGGTGTTTGAAAAGATTCTGCAATTGAAATATTCAGAACTTAATTAATTTTAATGATTCACTTTAACTAAATGAACCAATCAAAACAAAGTTGTTAAAAAGATTTACTCAATTGAGCGTGTAATAAAATTCGATTATGATTGTAAAAATCCAATATTAATTCAGGAGAAACTAACAATCATTTTTTTTAGAAATTATTTATATAGCAACATGTTATCAAAAAATTTGTAATATTATAGTCTAGTAGTAGCACACACAGAGTAAAAAAATAATTAAATTACAAAGTAAAATGATTTAATTTTGTAGTTGAAACCTATTATATCAAACTTGATTCGTCAATAAATCCTTTGAAAACATTAGAAATGAATGATTTTAATTGTCTTTATGAAGAACATGGAATAAATAACTGTTTAATTGATAAATAAGAATTTTTTTTTAATTTTTGAGGATAATGTTTTCAACTAGATACGAATTGTAGTCATATGACGTATCGTTGAAAAAAGTAGGTCAAGTTAGAGCAGAAAAAATAAATGATAGTCACAAAAAAATAAC